GTGCAACACTTAGGTGTCTTTATTGGTAAATTATTAAAATCATAACTAAGCGCTAAACCCACGTTTTTTTCAGTTGAATAAAGAGGAGATGAATTACGAAAACTGGAGACAATATTAGAGAAGAGGTATTTTAATGAATTTAAGCGCTAAACTCGTAAGGGTCACACAACGCTTCAGAGGTAGTTTGAGGTAATTAGTCCCTCAGTCTTGATGAGACCAGACTTATATAACGGAACCGGAAGTGAGGTGTAGCAACTTGATGAGGTCACAGGTGAGCTGGGACCACTAGCGGAAGGTTATGATACACAATTGCTAGCACTAACTGAAGAAGACATCCCTGTACCAAGATACCGAGGTGTTCTGTCAGACAAGTATTGTTATAAATGGTATACAATACCCTTAGATTAACTAGTAAAATATCTGCATTCGACTTATAAAGCCTAGAGTACTCGATAGGCTTTAAACCTCATTAACTAACTACTAGAAGCAGGGAATAACTTCCTGCAATCACGTACAGTATACAGACGTGAGTGGTTAACAGTGACCTTAAGACTAGTAAGCTTGTTGATGGATAAGCTTAGTAACTGTTCTGAGAGCCTCAGTATAGCTTACCGAAGCTGTCTACATAAGAATAACCCATAGGAGAAAACTGATCACAAAGAAGGGCGACGTAACAGACGGAGGACCAACGGAATTAACAGAAATAAAATCGGCTACAAGGCGAGACAAAATCAGCTAAAACTCTCGATCTGCCACGTTTGAAAGAAGACTGAGTGCTCATTCCCTGACTCGCCAGGACACTAACACATATTTTAACTCGACTTTACCAAACAACTGACATGTTTGCATACATCCGTTATGACATCTATTCAAATCAGTTCCACGTGTTAGGAAGATTTATTAGCTATTTTAATAATATATTAATGAATACATCAAATCACTACAAGTCAAAGATACAGATGTTTACAAGATGACTGGGAAATCATTGCTTTATTTGCAGTAGATAGAATTCCTTCGTAATTGAAGCGAATAATGTTCTCCACTGTGCCTAGAAGGATAATGTATATAAATACGCTTAGTGTTGTAGCCTATGGTGGATACCTAAAATACACTGATGTGTTTCAAAATGAGGTTTTATTATTAAAATCATAACCAAGCGCTAAACCCACTAGGGTCATACAGCGCTTCAGGGTAGGGAGTGCTAAAGGTGTAATATGCCTGGCCAGAGACCAGCGGGGGTGAAGAATATGGCTGAGGCAGAGTTAAGAAGGGTGATGAGGGGTGCTCAAGGGAAGCATAATCTAAGTCGGTGTAATAAAGCTGCTGCTGACAAAAAATCAAAGAGGGAGTCTATGTCAAAGGTGGAGCCGTCAGCTAAGAGGAAAGATAAAGTAAGGGTGGTAGAGCAGTGACGACGTCAGAGGTAAATTCTACGTGCTCGCTGGTAGACAGGACAGTCTAATAGTATATGACAAACTGAAAATGGAACTTGACAATTCTCACAGAATGGCGTTGGGCGCTTGTCCATGACATACCCGAGAGTGAGACGCGTGTGTCCGATGTGAAGATGGGAGAGCGCAGTCACCCAGACACGACAGCGGTGGTAAGGAAGACCAGAAACCTAAACACGGCTTGGTAAAATATTATAATCATGGGGGAGCGCTAAACCCGAAGGATTATACAGCGCATGTGGGAGGATGGAATGTATTCAGGCTCAATTCAGGGAACCGGAGCTTAGATCCAATTCCCTAGATCAAGAACCCCTCACCAGCGTCAAGGAACCTCCCTTGAGGGGAGGTAAAATATAATTTGCTATGAATAAACTTAGACCAACGTTGTTACCAACGGTTGCGGAGGTGTCTAGAGATTACAGAAAATAATCTGAAAATGGAATACCCCTATATGAAACAGGAGGTCATGTGCAGCTGACCGCCCAACACTCCTCCTGCTCATTGCCCTGAGCATCCTCATGACCAGAGATTCAGCAGAAAACTATTTCTTTGTTTTTACTAGAGATGCGGGAAAACCAAAGTTGTATACTAAGAACGGGGAATGAGGCGAATCATTTTTTTTTTTTTTTTTTTGATAGCCTGCAAAACACCAAAGGAATCTAAAATTACTACGAATGTTAAGGTAGACATGGATGCAATATGTATAATAGCGACGAGAACTGCACACAGTTCAGCTGTGAAAATGCTAGCTGAGTCTAATATACGACTTCACACAACACTGGGAACACCACATGATGTGTGTTATGGGAGTTGCTAGAGTGAACATGTCATACTTCGTTGCAGTGTGTCTGTTTACCACTTGTTGGCGTTACGCATATATTCAGTGTATTTTTAAAATGGTGAACCATTTAGGGCTAAAACTTCCAAACCGAAACATTCTGAGTTACAATATAAAAAAAAACACCCTAGCGTAAAAAAAAAAAAAACCCGCACGGACTATATTTTATGTAAGAACAGCATAAAATCAACTAGACACTCCATTTACAAGTAAATCTGGTCAATTATAGGAAAACAAAGATAATTACCTTCTTAAATCTTTATTAAGCTGTTCCAATAAGAGAAGGACCTATAATATGAAAATTATGTCTTAAAAACAGTAAGTTCAAATTATACCTTGGTGCTTACCTAATAAACTTAAACATGATTTGTAATGTACAGTTTCACAGTATCTGGTATAACAATGAAATATATGTTTGAGGAATTGACATAAATCCCTCAGCGTCGCTAGAGAGATCAGTGACGCTGACGTTATCAAGGTAGAAATATATATATATATATATATATATATATAATATATTTATATATATATAATATATTATATATATACATATATATATATATATATTATATATATATTATATATATATATATATTATATATAATATATATATATATATATATATATATATAATATATATATATATATATATATATATATATATGTCCGAAGTGCCCGAGTGTCTTGATGCCAATGAAGAGCTCCTGATCAAAGTAATTGGAACCATCCTGCCCGGAGATCGAGCCTTAATACCTTAATTGCCCCCACTGATTTAGCGTTTACCCATTAATATAATAATAACATGTTGCAAACCCGCAGCCGTGCATGAGAGGTTAAAGTTCCAGAGGTGACACGGTGTGTGAAACTCGTGTTACGGGGTAATGAAGCATTTGTTCTATGATCAATAGTTCACTATTATTATTGACTGCGAGTTCTTGTATAATATACTATAAACTACATTTTCCCAGTTGTTTTACAATGGAGAGAGCTGTTGTTATTTTGTGTGTCCGTGGTCCCAGTTCGTTGTTGGCTTTGAGTCTTATGTGCGGCTATGTATTACCGCCCCCAGTAGCTGTTGCACTATGACTAAAGCTGACGTTATTGCATGCGTACACGTAGTCCCAGTTCATCGTCGGCAGACTTCTATGCGAGGCAGTGTAGTACCTTCCCGAGTAACTGTTCCACCGTGGTGAGAGCTGTCGTTTTGTATGTCTGTAGTTCCTGTTCGTCGTCAGTCAAGTCTTATGTGGGACTATGAAGTATCTCCCCCAGTAGCTGTTCCACTGTCGTAAGAGCTGTCATTACTCTACGTGTCAACAGTTCTACTTCATCATCGGCTGATCGGCGTAGTGACCGGCCATTCCTCACTCTGTAAATGATATCAGAAAAGATACGGACGACAAAGGTGAGCAAGAGAAGCAGCGCTATGCCTTCCAGGGTTATGTTGCTACCTCCTGTTCTACCCTGCACTTCTGCAGAGCTGTGCCATGCTTCTTGTTCTTCAAGTTGAAGGGGAACATTTTTTATGCTGTCATCCATGGTATATGGAAGGGCCATACAAGGTTCGGTTGAAGGAATAAAGTCTTGGTTAACTGGTACGTGTAAGCTCTCTCACAATGATGTATTGCAACACTCCTAACAGTAACAACAAATATTATCCTTCAGAAGTACTTCATAGTCTGAGAATTATTTCTCTCCACACTATATAAAACATTTGTTTTACCAGTCAGTTTTTCTTGCTATAATAATGAAACTTGCCGCAACTTATATGAAATGTGTACGACGCAGATTATCGTCAGTTTTTCTTTTCTGTGTGAATAATGGTTAAAAGATTTCTTTACAGAGCTTTATGTTTCTTATATGCATCAATGGTTTCCATAACAGAGACCGCATTCGGGCGTTAATGGGTTATTCATAGTGAACCCTGAACACAGCTACAGTAGCAACTGACAGAGGTACAGCAGTGAGACACACACGCACCGAGAGCCTCCGCAGAACTGCACGCTACCTAGACTACGTCCCCAGTAACGCCTACATTCTCACTCTCAGACCGCAATTCAGTAATGGCCCTTATCTAAGGTTAGCTTTTCTCTAAGCATATGAAAGCTCCCAGGTTTAGATGCAATATTCACTCCACCCTTGGACTAGACTGACCGACCTACTAGAGGAGACCTCACACACCGCCAAGGCAGACCGCGTCCAACATAGTACCTTCCTGGGAAAACCTTACTGGGGAGCCATTTCTCAGTTCGTACCTCGACGAGGAACCATTCCAGTTGGCACTTAATTGTAACAGGCAAGACCTAGAGCAAGAACAATCTCGGCACCCCAAATAGTTGCTGTGTACCGTTGATCGCTTGTTTGTGATTGTTGATATATATGTATCTTTTAAGCCTCGTCTAATATATTATGCAATAAAATATACCTGTTCGTAAAAAATAAAATATTGGGTAGTAGGGGAATTTGAATATACAAATGGGTTCAGGAAGATATCTAAATATTTTTCCCTGAAGCCTTTTTATGCGCTTCTCCGAGGCTATGGGTCCCATAATTATATATATATATATTATATATATATATATATATATATATATATATATATATATATATATATATATATATATATATATATACACCATCGATGTATATACACTTCTGCTCTCTGTGTACAACCATCAGGTTAAATACATTCCTGAGAATAAGTACATCATTACATGGGTGCTCCATAAGTTTGTATTTACTCGCATTGAGGTGACGATATATCAAGACTCAAATCTCGTTACCTGGCTTTAGTACAAACACATTAAGGTGACACATGTGGCCATAAGACAGCACAACTCCACATGCAGGTACAATACACCAACCGCAACAGTTACGTTGTTCAACTTTTGTACATCCTCTTGTCATGTGTGTATGTTCATGGATGATAAGCAACTGTTCTTTTTAATTCCATGAACTTAGGACTTCCTTTGAATAATTTGTTGAGTCACCTGTTTCATGACTTCTATATTTTTCTGCTCTTTCCTTACAGGATCTAAACTTGATTTAATTATAAATCACAAACATTCCCCAGGAGATTATTATTATTATTATAATAAAAAAGAAGCGCTAAGCCAAAAGGGCTATACAGCTCCCCAGGAGATATTTTTATTAAACAATGAGGATAAGTTATTGGTGTTATGAGTAAGCCATCAACGTCTACATGAAACTGAGATTTCCACAAGTAATGGGGAACAACTTAATTTAATACATTTAGGTTTGATTCAAGGAAGAGGACGGGAGCTCCTATTCCTTGGAGAAAAAGCTCTTCATCAGCATCAAGACACCTTCCTCCCCTTGAAGGGTGGATGGGTGTAGAGGAGCATTGAGCCTAAAACATTCCTTGTTCTAAATAGTTTAGCGGTTCATATAATATACAGTGGTAGGATTACCACTTCCTGGTATTGGAAGTCATGACGATTTAGTGCTGTGATCTGTTTCTTGTTGAGTTTTAAGAAGAGCATCACCATTGTGTAGAATGGAATGAAGGCACCGACGCATTGCTGCCAGTAACTAATGGAAGTAATCAATTCGGTTTCCTGCGACTTACATGTTATTGCACCCTTGTTGCCGGACAGAAATCACTCGAGACCCAGCTACAGGGTCGGAATTACCGGTGCTGTCATAGGGTCATTAACGGTACCTACACTTTTAGATCGTTACCACTTCGAAGAGCCACTGATCACATCATCATTTCCAGACGAACATTTATACTGTACTTACACGCATCCGTGATTCAATTGATGTGAGGCGTGCACAGGGCTGTGATTAGTACTGTTTCGAAAATGGGAATTCGTGACTCCCTGCTGTGTGCTTACCAACTTGTGGTTCCGGGAGATGAGTCTCATCTTTTAGCTCAGGGGTTCCCAACCTTTTCTATGCCCTGCACCCCTTGGAAATGTTTGATTAATGTTACACCCCGTACGAGAGTAATATCACACATGAAGATGAAGAAGTCAATTTTCTAATTTTTGAGTCACAAATTGAACCGAATACAGTACTGTGGGTGAACAAATTGAACTCAAAAGATAAGCTTTTAATTCAGTGCATCAAATGCAAATGTAAACTGAGCAATTAGAAAAGTTTTCGGTAAAATAAACGGAATTGAGCTTTTCATTAGGATTCTTTGTCGCACCCCCTTTGGGGTGCCTGCACCCCAGGTTGGGAACCCATATTCTAACTCCTCAGGTAGGCCATGAGTGGGCTCACTCCCTCCTAGCATAGTTGGCCCAGTTATACCTTATTTATTTATTTATTTATTTATTAACAATTTGAGCACACATACAGAGGTACAAAAAAATACAGATAAGAGCAGCGTGCCAAAGCCACTTATACTATGCATAGCATTACGGGCTGGCTTAAAATTAACTTAAGATTAACTAAGCAATGATGAAATCAGTGATAAAACATTAATGTAAACAGATTACTATAAAGCACAAGTGAGTATTACAAAGACAGGTCATATGGTTGCATGCATTGTTGTACATTCAGTCGTATGGAGTATTCTGTTAGGTAGTGTATTTAAAAAATAATAAAGTTAGATTGGGTTTCAGGTTTAACATTTATGTGATATAATTGTGAGAAACATTTAAGATATACAATTTATAAGGTTCAGTTATTCAGTATTTATTTGGTTTTGGGTGAGTAAGTGATCTTTGAGAAGAGACTTAAATTTATAAACAGGTAGTGTTTCTTTTATATTTACAGGTAATGAATTCCATATTTTAGGGCCTTTTATGTGCATTGAGTTTTTGCATAGTGTGAGATGGACACGAGGAACATCAAAGAGTGATCTGTGCCTTGTGTTATGGTCATGTGTTCTGTTGAGGTTGGCAAGGAGATGTTTGAGGGGAGGGTTAATATCAGAGTTAAGTGTTCTATGTATGTAATAGGTGCAGTAATAAGTATGGATGTTTTGTATGGTGAGTAGGTTGAGTGTATTGAATATTGGTGGAGTGTGCTGCCTGTAGCTGTGTATGTAGCCTGCCTCGACTTCTTTATTAAGATTACTCCACTTCTTAACTGTCCTGAGACTGAAGAAATAAGAAATTGGTGTGTTTTATTCATTAGTAAATGTTACTATTCTAGCTGTATATTTTGTAAAGGCCTTCTTTCCTCCCTCCGTCTCTCACATACATGCAACTACAACGCTATTTTTTCTTTAGGTCAGTAGTTAACATATGAGCATACATATAAGAGATCTGTCTGTCACCGTATATATAAATGAGAGTTTGTTTTGATCTCTGTTTAGTGTCAAACGATGCTTAAAATCAATTGGGTGGTTAAAATCGATCACACAAATAAACAGAGAATTAGACTCTTATCCAGTTCTAATGCTATACTTATGCTGTTGTAATCTTAGTTCAAGACTTCTTCCAGTTTGACCCTCCGTAATAAACTTTGTTACATTTTTTACAGGGAATCTTGTAGACACAGCCATCTGCATTTTTGGAGAAATTTTTACTGTTTTTTTTTTACTGTATCAAGATTTTTAAATATAACTTTGGTTTTAAAATTCTTAACTAGAGAATGTATATCAAGGTTTTCATGGTAAGGGAGAACCAACATATTCTTAATTGAATAGATTGTTTGTCTTTTTTTTTTTTTGAATTGTAAAATGTATTTCTAGCATTTAAAAAAAATATCAATTAAGTATTTTGGGTAATTTAGATAATTAGCCATTTCATGAATCTTCAAGATTTCTTCATCTATGAACTCTAAGCTGCAAATATGCAAAGCTCTTAAAAACATGGATGAGAATACAAAAAGTTTAACTCTATCACGATGTGAAGAATAATAGCGAATATAAGAACAACTGTCTGCATATTTTGAATTTACAATCAGTTACAATTAGTTATTTTGTTCAAATTCAACATTAAAATTTATGGAATGAGCTAGAATATTTAATTCAACAAGGAATACTTTATATCTATATTCGTAGGCATTAGGAATAAAACATCAACAACATTCTGTACTATTTAGCTCTATTGGGAAGGATTTCGTTAAGAAGTCTTGTTTCAAAATATTCCAGGTACAAATTGCTAAGGACAGGTGAGAGAGGATTTCCTATTGCCATACCAAACTTCTGAATGCAAAACTTGTCATCAAACACAAACTTTGCATCGACAATACATAGTTTAATAAGCTCAGTGATTGTTACCGATTACTTCAGATAGGAAACTTAGTAAATCATCAGTGGTATAGAGCAAGAGAAAGAGAAAGAGAACCATATAAACTGCAGGCAGTAACTGCTTGGATGCAATGAGCTTATGAAAGAGACCAGTCTGAAATCACTGTTCATGTTGAGGTCTATTATTTATTGATCAAAATTAATTTTACAGTGAGCATTATTGGGTTGCACAGCAGAAGGCAGGAAAAGATGTTAAACAACTAAGAAAGAATTTGTTATACGTGGTAAAGGAAAAAAAACTTTTAAAGAAGGGGAAATGCTAATAGGCAGGGGTGACGATATAGGGAGTAAATGACAGCAAGCAGAGGATAAATAATAGGCAGCAATGATGTTAAATGGGATAAATGATAGGGTAGGATGGAAATGCTAGTAGGCAGGAGCGACGTTGATGCGAGAGACGTGATCTTTCTCGGAGGCCAGCTTGAGAGCCATCTTGGGCGTGATGTCCGACACCAAGGAAGTTTCCCCTCGTTTGTAGTATAGCACTTCCGCAGCCAGAGCGATCATAGCCAAGGCCAGCCCGATCAGCGTGGCGATGAACACCCCGCCTGCAAGTAAGCACCATAATTTTCCTAGTGGACTGTAATGTATTTAACGAAGCGCTATATCTATACGAGTCATACAACGCAAAGTATTGGAGGCTCGATCCTCCGCCCTCTGATCTCTAATTAGCCAAGCTGGCCGTCCTTTGCCCAGTTGAATGAATACGTTACGCCGAATACGTAACGTATTTATTCGGTGGACACAAGTCCAACGAGCCAATTGTAAGGTAACTAGTGGAGATTTAGTGCTTCACCGTCGTCTAGTAACCATTAGGTGTGCTGTGACATTCTGACTCATTAGGGGGGCTATGGAAAACTGGTTTGATTATTTCTTGTGGTAATCATTCCAGCCAACCAGACTTTCCGAGACAGTTAACGTATATCCCATATGCCTTCAATCTTGGGCTGTCAGTTAGCAGTTTGAGAACAATAATACGAAAAGAACTTTAACTGAACCTCATTGACTTGAGATTGAGGGAAATTGACACGAGTCAGTCCGTCTATCATGAAGGAGGAGCCACATGTCTATGGTACATTCAACAAAATAAGCAGACTTTTGGGTGTCACTACCGCCCGGCTCCGGCTGGGCTGCCCACTCTCTTTGGGAGGTTAAATCACCGCAACCAGCTGCAGATCAAATGAAATGTAAACTGCCTGATGGATAATTGTCACACCTTGAGTCATTATATACTGGAATGCGACGAAATTAATTAATTCAGAGACTACTCATAAATTTTCAAGAATTGTCAAAGAATTTTATCCACCGTGGTATATTACCAAACCATTCTGGACTTTGTCACTGTAAATAATGCATTACCACTCTTTTTTGCATGTGTGTCTGACCTAATTCATGTCTGTATAAATAACTCATTACAAGTGTAACCAGATACAAACATGTAAATGGTTCATTACCACTGTAACTTGTTCAGCTATCAAAACTTTGCGGCCCAGTCCCTGGACTCATTATGTACCTCTAATGTTTTGACTACCGCCCACGGATGGATATGGAGTGCATAATAAAAATATTAAACTAACTATCCCATTGTGAACTCTGGTTCTCTGTGATTTTTTGGTAGTCACTGGTTATAATTAACTTGGTTTGTGTAATTATGTGATATGGGATATCGATAAATTGTAAATTATAAGGACTCAAAAGCAGTAATTGGAAACTTCATTCAAGCAACATTCCGCTTGAGCAGCAGGCTTTTTCACGTAAAATATATTATATCTGGTGGTACCACAAATACGTCTTAAGAAGAATTTATAGGCTAAAATTATGAGTTATATTTATATTAGTAAGGCAAATAGACATAATGGGAAAATGTATTATACTTTAAATTAATTGAAGAGTCCTAGAAAGGAGGACAAAGGAAGTGGACTGACCAAGACTCTGCAACGTAATGCCTTCGGAATCATTGTCGCTGGGGCAGATGCCTCGCGCCGAAGAATTCCAGAATTGTGCTGACAAAGCCTCGAAGTACCGGTCCTTCTGCAGCTCAAGAATTCTAAAACAAACGTCACAACGTTCATTTAATTTTTAATGGAAAATTATCTAACATTAAATAATAGCACAGAATTGGAAAATAGTCTTATTTTCCAGATATTACACAGTAAATAAGTAATACTGTTAATGCTGTTCTTCATAGTTTAGGGAAAGAATAGAAAAAATTTGGGAGCGTAGTGGATCAGCATGCTAACGTCGGATGTTTGTATATCTCACGACATATATAAAACAAGAACCCTTTGAAGAGCCATAATATAACAACGTATAAGAAGGGCTGCCACTCACGCCCTGCTAATCTCATCCTGGAGGTGGCTTCCTTGCTGCACAGCGATGGCATACGGTCTGCTCAGCGAACGGTTCCCCAACCTCGGTCAGTAAACAGTTGTGGTACACCTCGTAACGGATCTCTGAAGCGTCGTGGATGAAGGCGAACTCTCCGTTTTCGTTGCTTAGCACCTATATTATTATTATTATTATTATTATTATTATTATTATTATTATTATTATTATTATTATTATTATTATTATTATTATTATAAGGGTTAAACATCTAGCACCTCTAAGTATCAGCGATATTACAAATTTGAACACATTATGTTATCAGTGAACTCAAACATTAAACAATTCTCTAAAAATGTCATTAATATAAAGTCGAAATACTGCACACATCAAGATCCTCATATCCTCTAATTATATTGAAATAGTCTATTATATTTGATAATGTAATGAAGATGGAAAAAAATAAGGAATCACATATGACTTTCTTGGATTTTTAATCAGGGCAAATTTTAAAACAAATTTCCAATTTATAAACAAGTAAACCCATATTAGATGTTTACCCAACTATAATAATAATCTTCATTTTAACAAGTATATGATACAACTTATAAAGACCAAGCTGACTGGTGTGTTACCTTGTCAAATCCGAGCTGTGCTCTCTCCACTGGTCCTGAATCTTGAATAACTTGCAGGATGTGAGTGTATTGCTCCTTGATAGGGTAGTCCCAGACTCGGTATTTACTCTGGTCACCTGTACTGTTCAGTGTCAGCTCTTTCCACACCCTGTGTACAAGGTAATATAGTTCCAAATGACCAACTCATATTTTCCTGTCATTTCAACTCTACAATAGTATTAAAAGCTATTTTATTGATACAAAAAATAGTTGTTTAATATGTATCTTTTGTTTCCAGTATTTCAGTTAAATATGAAATTAAACATAACCAATATAGCCACACATTCTTTGATTAAATAATCATTATCTTGCATGTTACTTACATGGGGTTGGGAAACTGATTTAAAAGTAAGGAAATTATAGCTAATAAAATAATAATAGTAATGATAATGTTAGATTATGTATGTTTAAACAATTTTTAACTACTGTTGGTCCGGCTTTATAATTGACCATGACTAATGGAACCTACAATTTTTAAACGAACAGGTGAGAAATACTATATACAATGTCGTACCAAATAGGTAAAACTTACGATTTTGGCTTAAATAGCAACATTCTTCTTGCCGAATATGGCAAGCGAAAATTTGTGTATGCAATAATTTCGCAAAAAAATCATTCTGTACCTAACGGAAAAAAATATATTTCATTGTTTATTATTAAATTACTGTAACTTATCTAAAATATATTTAGTTGGATTGGGCTAAATTAAACTTTGGGTGTTATAATAAGGTTAGATAAGTTTTCTAAAGTTCTTTTGCTACAAAATTATTAATTTTTACATTAACATAAATGAAATAAAAATCTTTAAACGTATAAGAGAAAATGAGTTCTTGCTAATTGGCCAATCTTACCTATTCGGCAATATATATATATATATATATATATATATATATATATTATATATATATATATATATATATATATATATATATATATATATATATATATATATATAAATGAATCATACAGTGCCCGTATATAAATGAATAACCCAGTGTAAAAATATGGCAAATTTCCACAAACAAGCATTACACACAGGTAATAAAACAAAGAAATATGTGTACAAGTATATCAAAGAATAAATGTAAGAATTTCAGGACCTATGTAGCATAAGATACTCCTATTTCAAACTTGATCTATAAAGCAGACTTCTGCCTCACAGTATCTTCATGGGACACATGCATAGCTATGTTCTCAGAAAGTGTTGCAACTGGTGGACCCTACAGACAGGAAGCAAGTTATACAGAGTTTTGCAGGGCGTAAGTGTTTGCCTCCCGCCTCCTTAACAGGAATCGTCACTCTGAAACGTGGACTGAGGATCGTGTACACTTCTCACATATGGTCATCTAACTGCAGGTGCTCCTGCCTCCTGCATGTGACGCGCAGGTATTAGTTTGCTCATGATCTAGCCTTCTCGCTCCCGTCACAAGCCAAAAGGCCTAAGGGTGTCTGCAGGGATCTATGGGGAACTTTTAGGGAAGACCTTTAACATTAAAAGGAATTTTTAACTAATGCTACCTATTTTAACTTGGCGTAATAGTAACTGCTTGTGTTGTGGTGTATTCATGCTAGTAGTTCTTTACTGACTGTTAATTTTAACTTAGATTTTCTAATGTGTATTGTTTTTATTTTAGTGTGGCTAGCGCTAATCAAACAGGTCAAAACGCTCTTCAAATCTCAAATTTATCTACTTAGCTAGTATGGGCCAACAGTGCTCTTGTATTCTCGTGTTTTCTAATTAAAAAATGTGAAGACTGTCAAAAAGAGAGGTAAATAGGCGTTGTATCTTTGAAATATAACACAGAATTGGCGATCAAGTTGGAGGGGTGGCTATCTGCAAATGCCTACTCGCCCTCCTCATGCAGAATCAGAAGAAATATTCTTTATAGATGTGAAAATAGGATCCTACCGGAACTATATGACCTGGAATAATAAAATTATAAGCTTTGAATACAATCAATTAAGTCCACTTACATGAAATAAATGGAGATAAGCGAGAGTAAGTGCTGGTGAAACTTGCGAAGGTGAGACAACACCAAGCAACAAGAAATAGAGTGGGGGGAGACAACGGTAGTTATATTGGTATTATTAAGGATGGCACCTGTATATTGTTCCCTCCCACCTCCAAGTAAAAGTTAGCTAAAGTTATGAAAATTTTTAAATAGGTTACATAAATTAAGTTATTTAATATTACACAAATTTTTGCAAGGTTAATACGGTAGTAGCTAGTTTCGTTTTAATGCAAAAATAATAACCAGTATATAATAAATATGCATAACTTGAGTTAACTATTTTCCATTGAGGGAAAGGGAAAGGAGGCAATCTTCAGGTGATCCGAACGTTGCTACCTGAAGAGTTCGTCCTCTGCTTTAGCCATGTTGTAGAAGTACTCGTATACAACAGAGTCCATGGTAGTGCTGAAGTTTATCTTGGCCTGGCGAGCCAAGGCTTCCAGAGACTGCACGGGAGACTGCAGGAAAGGCGGGTAGGCGTCAGTCGTTCCCTAAACAGAATCTCTTGCTACCCTCGCCTTGGCCATTTGTGGTATCGTAAATCATACCTTCCTATATATAGACATCTCTGAGTCTATAAACTCCCCCATTTTTATCCTTCTCACGCTCACACTACCCTTGCTGATATATCAATCAGAAACTGAAATTAAGTATTTTTTTCGCCAATCTTTCCCTTGCTTCATCACACACATTTTTCACTAAATCAAACCCCTTAATTCACTGTTATACTGTACACATTAATGATGGTTAATTTTGTTTTATAATAAATTATAACACATATTAACAAACGAACATTCAATAAAACGTTTCATATAAAAACATATTATATATATATATATATATATATATATATATATATATATATATATATATATATATATATATATATATATATTATATCATATAAATAAATACTGTACATAATTTTTTCATTATATGGCCTGTTGCCATATAAGCACAAGATTCTTGGGACATTCCCTTCCCATATAACAGTCTCGTTCCCCGCAACCAAAAGCAAGGCCCAAGAGCTGGAGCCCAACCTCCGCAGATATACTGTAGCTAGACGAGCACAGTACATACGCACCGACGTACAAACGGTGACGGATTCGTTGAACATGAAACATAGTGGGGAAACAAATAAATCTTGGCACAAAAATATAGTGTTGGTGGTAGTGGTAGGTACTGTGCAGTGTGTGGTATTAGCAGTGACTGGTGGAACCCATGGGGCTCTGTGGGTTCTGCTCCCGTAGCTACTGAACCCACGCCGGGATGATAACAGCCATCTCCATTCCAAGTGAAGTCTTGTCTTTCAACTCAGGCTGACAAATTTCAGTACCATCTATATGAAACTATCTTGTGTGGTGAAATACGACAGAGGAAATCATGCTACATGATAATGGTGTTAGATAAGCATTGTTGGCTGGTTAATGGGGGTTTAAGCCTATCGATTACAAGATGGTCATAGGCTGCACGGTAAACTGTTCACCACCAGTCAAGAGCACTTTAATCCCTTAAATATGAATTACAATATATATACCCTAAACATATATACCCTATATATACCCTAAACATTGCTCAATGTTTCTCTATGTTTGCATGGTGTCATATTGATCAGGATAGCAGCAAGATGCAGTTACATGTAGCTTTGATAATATAAAATAACTAAAAGGGGAAATTTGTTCCTCTTATCTGCTTGCTTTGTTTACACGTAAAAAAATCTTCCCAAGCAAAAATCATGCAAAAACCTTATTACCAATGTCAGAAGCGGCTTTGACAAAAATTTACATGCCATGCAAAAATTTGTTGGCGTGATTTTTGTGATATCAAAAAAATAAACAAGTAAAAACAGTTTGCAGTGAAAGTTCAAAATTCATAGCATCTAGAAAAAAAAGGGTTACTGCCACACATAATATTGTGTGCGTGTGTGTGTGAAGGGAGCAGCAGAGGTACCGGTATAGTTCATCCTCAGCGCCGGCCATGTTGACAAAGTATTGGTAGGTGGCAGTAGAGCGGAGTGCAGTGTAGTTGATCTTGCTCTGCCCTGCCAGCTCGTCCAGGGAGCTCACCGGTGTCTGTAGCACCCAACAGTTACTCTATCTCACCGCACGTATGTATAATGCTTATTCTCTTATCTTAACTCTACATAATTTACTATTTTCATTACTCGACTCTGCCCTTACTAATATTATTTAAGCTACTTCAAAATCATATTTTCGCTGACAAGGATTTCAAACTTTCCCTTTTTATACATAACATTGCTAGTATGTTTACTCGTACTACTTTGACAATTTTTAAGCAGAATCTGTCATGTTCTGTAGTACCGACCAAGCCCTTTAGTTCAGTTAATCCCAGTAAGTAAATAAATCTACTTTCATTCATACCACATTAAGGAATATTATATATATATATATATATATATATATATATATATATATATATATTATATATATATATATATATATATATATTTTTATTTATTATCACACTGGCCGATTCCCACCAAGGCAGGGTGGCCCGAAAAAAGAAAAACTTTCACCATCATTCACTCCATCACTGTCTTGCCAGAAGGGTGCTTTACACTACAGTTTTTAAACTGCAACATTAACACCCCTCCTTCAGAGTGCAGGCACTGTACTTCCCATCCACTCAAAGTGGATTCCTACGTATTAACTCATTTCTTACCCTCCTCTCCATACATTCCCCACAAAAAAGGCCGGAAAAATGGTTACATATTAATTTTATCCGCGGAAGTGCTAGTGAATATTCTTCTGGTCCAGAAACCTTCAGCAGATACCCTTGATTACCCCTCATTCCCCAGAAGTTGAGTTACTCGCTGGTTTTGCACTTCCTTATAAATATAATAATATTTTCCTGTCAGCCACAGTATGTATGCGTCCGGGTGGACAGAAAACTCGTGTATGTGCTGGATATGTTCATTTTGCCTGTTGATTTTTATGAGATGAATTTTTATCTACAACTCAGTCTTGGCTTCGAGGCCTTTGCCGGACAGACTGTTCCGTTGGCTTATTAATCTGCGAGAAGAATTTCTTTTTGTCTATCCCCCAATGATGTTCGGCGACTTTGAATTGTCTCTTGAAAGCGTCACGTTAGATATGTTAAAATGATACCTATGAGGCAAGCAAATGTTTGGAAAAAGAGATAGGTTGTCGAAAAGTGTAAGTTTTATGAACTCACGCCTCCCCCAAACATAGCCATGGTAGTTGCAGGTCCCAAAGCTGGAGCTCAACAACCTCAATGAAATAAGCAGTAGGCTCAAGCTAGGGCTCAACCTCGTCAAACAGCTCAAAAGTAGGCCCGGCACCTTGTGTTCACCCTACCAAACACAGTTGAGTCAGATTCAGAAGCTCGATCTCACTTCCTCACAAAGCTATGTAGCAGGACTCACGAAATCGTAATGACACTATTGCAAACAAACCATACCACGGGCGGGATCTATCCACGCCCGTGGTATGGCTGAAGCAAAATTATAATTAGTAAGAAATACGTATGGAAAACAAGGGATCTATAAATGAATCTAGTGTTCTTTTTACCTTGATTAGCTAAATGAATGTTGGGATCCTCCCCGGACTCGTAATGTGTGTCTATATTCTTCTGACTGCCCTCCCCCTCTCCCCCGACAGGATGACTGGGACGAGTAGGGTGGGTATGGGATGACTACTGTCCATAAGATGGGTATAAGGCGATTATTGTCCACACGATGTACTGGGGTTTTTACTGCCAACAGGATGGGTATAAGATGACTAATGCCCACAGAATGGATATATGGCACATAATGAAACTATCGAACAAAGGTACCTGCATGCGCTCTACGGTGAGGAAGGCAGCCAGATTGGCAGTGAAGGTAGCCAACATAAGGACGACGAAGAGCCAGTAAGCAGCTACCAGCGTCCGTCCACTCAGGGCCTTAGGTGCCTCCCCTCCACCCTGAGGCGTGAACGACGTCAGGGCGAACCAGAAGCTCTCTTTCAGGGTGAACTTCCTGTCAGGGGAAGGGAAATAAACAGTTTACTAAATGAAGTCACCCATCGAAAGAAGACAGGACGCAGTTTACATGTGAGTACAAGAAACATGCAAAATTTGTTTTTCTTTAATTTCATGCACGGAATATATTATCAGTATTACTAATTAAGTAATTAGTAATATTGATGATATATTCCAGCTTAGTTGGCGTATGACATAGCTAACATGGGGTTAAAAATAAGTTACTAAGATTGCTGCTTTGTCTATGGGTTTGTTTGTACTACTGATCATAGTTTATATCAGTTTTCAGTTTGGATTACACTACTAGTTAAGTAGCTACGGTATTAGAAGAAACACCTGCAGTGTGGTGGGTAGAGATCAGCATTATTCTGCGCTGAGTAAGGAGAGTAGCGGTCCAGGAGCCATATCATGACACCCGTCACCACCAGCGCCGCTACGATGGACACCCAAACTTCAGGCTTGAGCACAGTCATGAACTTGAATAAGCTCTCCTCTCGCATCCGCTTCCGGATAACTGCAGGACAAGTTAAACACAACGTGTAGTGGCCAATACAAGTAGGCGGGAACGAAGATATGGAGACTGGCGAACGAGAGGTCATGGAGGTAACAAATAATGGGAAAAATGAGGATGACAAAATTAAGGGACACTTGGCTATACAAGTCCATAAAACTACCGATTTAAGATAAGCCTGTGGTATTATATGCATTTTTTAATTGTTTAGCCTGGTAATAGAAAAAAAAATTAAGCAGGAGGTATCTCACAGATCATAATAAACAGAAACGATCTCACATCATATTAAACATAGGAACAATCTCACAGATCGCCTCAGTAAGCTAATAATATATCTCTTCTGCTGTAAATAAAAAAAACATGATGCCTAAGTATTAAAAACATGTTAATTTGTTTTCCTATGAACATGAGGGGAAATATGATTTTTTGAGCTGCCGATATAGAAACACGAACTAGCAAGAGGATCTCACGAGATCAATCGACGTCTCCTCATATTACTGATGTACATGGTCAAGCGGCCCATAGATCATATCTCTGCCTGAAAAAAAAAAAACATCTCCACTATAAAGTAAATTTTTTCCTATGATGATGGGAGAGGTTGTGGCTAGCACCTATTCCCTCATGCGATGTATGCCAAATCCAATGCATTCCTCCTTCGATGCATTCGCTCCACGATCATGTATATACAGAAAAGAAATATAACATTTATTAAGTAAATATTGCTTATTTGGAGGCTTAGGGTACTCTTCTTAAATGCGATATCTTATATAGCATTCTACTGCATTATTCTTATATATATATATATATATATATATATATATATATATATATATATATATATATATAATATATATATATATACATACGGCAACATATTTTAAATGTAGCCGCAGATGTGGCGAATGAGAAGTGAAATTCACCACACCATGCAAAAACTGAGAAATTAGGTCGCTTAGTTGAAAATTAAATATATATATAAACTCTTTGAACAAATTTATAAAAATTATGTAATTTATTTATTATTCAGTCACAACTGCCTTAGACGCAAAAAAAATAAAGAAATTATTTTAAATGAAAAAAGTTTAATGTGAACTCTGACATTTCTTTTGTATGACGAACTGCAAAAATGTTGGTTGAATATCTGAACGTTTCGTTAATGTTTCATAAGGCGGGATACAGAATGTCAAGTTGCAACCAGCACTGGCTCTCGAGAAAAAGTTATCATATTTTGTTATTATAGCCAAAATATGGCAAACGCGAGTTCGCCCCACCATTATGGTAATTCGCCACTTGTGGCGACTGGCGACAAGGTTGCCCACCCTGGGTATACCTCCAACGGATTTTTTTTCACGTTATTTTACAGGTTAAGAGCTGTTATCTCACCTAGGTTCACTTCAGATTTAGCACTTCCTCGTAAATATAATAATTGTTAAAATTAACTCACCCCGTTAGAGAGGTCCCCGACGAGACCGTTCCAGGAGCCGTTCTTCTGCCGGGAGCCATACTGACCATCTGCAGGAAACTTGAATTCAAAGTCAAAGTTCATTTGTTGAGAAAGGCGAGTAGCCAGCTCGACGCAATAGCCCTCATACAGTAGTGGGTCACTAGCTGAGCCCTGGGTCATCATGGGTGACCCACTCTTGGCACTCATCCATGGCCGAGCCTGCACCACAAAACTCACCTTTATGCTCACATATTTACATAGTGATGATACATAAACAGCAAGTTAGTTAAGCAACTAGATAAATAGCTGGGTGGATGACTAGTTTGTAATAAACTAAATAAATAGCTGGGTGGATAACTAGGTTGCAATAAAGTAGATAAAGAGTTGGGTGGATGGCTAAGTTGTAATAAATTAGATAAATAGCTGGGTGAAAGACTAGGTTGAGGGAGATTGTGAAGACGTAAATTAAAAGTAAATACAGTACAAGATATATTATAAAGAATATTTATAGATAATTTATTATTAAGAACTGAATTGTCCCTCCTTACTTGAATGAATCTTTATGTTTTCCATTTCCCAGGAGCTGTTCAGCGCTTCCCATATATATATATACATATATATATATATATATATATATATATATATATATATATATATATATATATATATATATATATATATATATATATATATATATATATATATATATATATATATATATTATATATTTAACACGTTGGCCGTCTCCCACCGAGGCATGGTGACCCAAAAAGAAAATCCCAAAAAAGAAAATACTTTCATCATTCAACACTTTCACCTCACTCACACATTTTTGCAGAGGTGCCCAGAACACAACAGTTCAGAAGCATATACGTATGAAGATACACAACATATCTCTCCAAACTGCTAATATCCCGAACCCCTCCTTGAAAGTGCAGGCACTGTGCTTCCCATTTCAAGGACTCAAGTTCGCTTATATAAAATAATCGGTTTCCCTGAATCCCTTTACTAAATATTACCCTGCTCATACTTCAACAGATCGCCAGGTCCCAAATACCATTCGTCTCCATTCACTCCTATCTAACACGCTCACGCATGCTTGCTGGAAGTCCAAGCCCTCGCCCACAAAACTTCCTTTACCCCCTCCCTCCAACCTTTTCCAGGACGACCCCTACCTGCCTTCCTCCCCCTACAGATTTATACGCTCTCCATGTCATTCTACTTTGATCCATTCTCTCTAAATTACCAAACCACCTCAACAACCCCTCTTCAGCCCTCTGACTAATACTTTTATTAACTCCACACCTTCTCCTAATTTCTACACTCTATATTCTTTGCATAATATTTACACCATACATTGCCCTTAGACAGGACATCTCCACCCCTTCCAACCGCCTCCTCGTTGCAGCATTTACAACCCAAGCTTCACACCCATTTAAGAGTGTTGGTACCACTATACTTTCATACATTTCCTTCTTTGCCTCCATAAATAATGCTTTTGTCTCCACATATACCTCAATGCACTACTCACCTTTTTTCCTTCATCAATTCTATGGTTAACCTCATCCTTCATAAATCCATCTGCCGACACATCAACTCCCAAACATCTGAAAACATTCACTTCTTCCATACTTCTCCTCTCCAATTTGATATCCAATTTTTCTTTATCTAAATCATTTGATACCCTCATCAACTTACTCTTTTCTATGTTCACTTTCAACTTTCTACCTTTACACACACTCCCAAACTCGTCCACTAACCTTCGCAACTTTTCTTTAGAATCTCCCGTAAGCACAGTATCATCAGCAAAAAGTAACTGTGTCAATTCCCATTTTGTATTTGATTCCTTATAATTTAATCCCACCCCTCTCTCGAACACCCTAGCATTTACTTCAATTACAACCCCATCTATAAATATATTAAAGAACCATGGTAACATTACACATCCCTGTCTAAGACCCACCTTTACCGGGAAGTAGTCTCCCTCTCTTCTACACACCCTAACCTGAGCTTCACTATCCTCATAAAAATTCTTTACAGCATTTAGTAACTTACTACCTATTCCATATACTTGCAACATCTGCCACATTGCTCCCCTATCCACTCTATCATATGCCTTTTCTAAATCCATAAATGCAATGAAAACTTCCCTACATTTATCTAAATACTGTTCATATATATGCTTCAATGTAAACACTTGATCTACATATCCCCTACCCACTCTGAAACCTCTTTGCTCATCTGCAATCCTACATTCTGTCCTGCCTCTAATTCTTTCAATAATAACGCTGCTATGCACTTTTCCTGGTATACTCAGTAAACTTATTCCTCTATAATTTTGCAATCTCTTTTGTCCCCCTTCCCTTTATATAAAGGAATTATACTTTCTAGTTGTAGCTACACTGAGAGTAAAAGGTAGATGGGATACAAGGAGAATAGAAGCATCAGGGAAGAGAGAGGTGAAGGTTTATAAACTAAAAGAGGAGGCAGTTAGGGTAAGATATAAACAGCTATTGGAGGATAGATGGGCTAATGAGAGCATAGGCAATGGGGTCGAAGAGGTATGGGGTAGGTTTAAAAATGTAGTGTTAGGCTCCAGGCGGACATCAACCAAATCTTTCAGTGGGCTGCAGAAAACAATATGAAGTTCAACGATGAGAAATTTCAATTACTCAGATATGGTAAACATGAGGAAATTAAATCTTCATCAGAGTACAAAACAAATTCTGGCCACAAAATAGAGCGAAACACCAACGTCAAAGACCTGGGAGTGATTATGTCGGAGGATCTCACCTTCAAGGACCATAACATTGTATCAATCGCATCTGCTAGAAAAATGACAGGATGGATAATGAGAACCTTCAAAACTAGGGAGGCCAAGCCCATGATGACACTCTTCGGGTCACTTGTTCTATCTAGGCTGGAATATTGCTGCACTCTAACAGCACCTTTCAAGGCAGGTGAAATGCCGACCTAGAAAATTGTACAGAGAACTTTCACGGCGCGCATAACGGAGATAAAACACCTCAATTACTGGAGCGCTTGAGGTTTCTAAACGTATTCCTGGAACGCAGAGGGAGAGATACATGATTTATACACCTGGAAAATCCTAGATGGCTTAAGTAACCGACTTGCACAGAACCATCACTCACCTGAAACCTGCAAAACGACTTGGCAACGACTGACCTCCCCAATTGTATAAAGCAGGGTGTCACTAGCACTTTACGAGACCATACAATAATGTGTCGGTACCTGAGACTGTTCAACTGCCTCCCACACCATAAGGGGGTATTACCAACAACCCCTGGCAGTCTTCAAGCTGGCACTGAAAGCACTAAAGGAACAGTTCCGATCAGCCGGAGGAGGCTCGTAGTTGGTTTGCGTGCAGCCAGCAGCATAAGCTGGTTGATCAGACGCTGATCCACCAGGATGGATGGGTCACAGACGGCCAGCGGGGGTTGAACCCGAACTCGCTCCAGGTAAAACTCCAGTGCTAGAGTGTTCAGCAGAAGTTTGTGTTACAGGAAAGTGGGTGTGGGAGGGAAGAGGAACGATTGGTGGAATGATGATGTAAAGAGAGTAGTAAGGGAGAAAAAGTTAGCACATGAGAAGTTTTTACAAAGTAGAAGTGATGCAAGGAGGGAAGAGTATATGGAGAAAAAGAGAGAGGTTAAGAGAGTGGTGAAGCAATGTAAAAAGAGAGCAAATGAGAGAGTGGGTGAGATGTTATCAACAAATTTTGTTGAAAATAAGAAAAAGTTTTGGAGTGAGATTAACAAGTTAAGGAAGCCTAGAGAACAAATGGATTTGCCAGTTAAAAATAGGAGAAGGAGAGTTATTAAGTGGAGAGGTAGAGGTATTGGGAAGATGGAGGGAATATTTTGAGGAATTGTTAAATGTTGATGAAGATAGGGAAGCTGTGATTTCGTGTATAGGGCAAGGAGGAATAACATCTTGTAGGAGTGAGGAAGAGCCAGTTGTGAGTGTGGGGGAAGTTCGTGAGGCAGTAGGTAAAATGAAAAGGGGTAAGGCAGCCGGGATTGATGGGATAAAGATAGAAATGTTAAAAGCATGTGGGGATATAGTTTTGGAGTGGTTGGTGCAATTATTTAATAAATGTATGGAAGAGGGTAAGGTACCTAGGGATTGGCAGAGAGCATGCATAGTTCTTTTGTATAAAGGCAAAGGGGACAAAAGAGAGTGCAAAAATTATAGGGGGATAAGTCTGTTGAGTATACATGGTAAAGTGTATGGTAGAGTTGTTATTGAAAGAATTAAGAGTAAGACGGAGAATAGGATAGCAGATGAACAAGGAGGCTTTAGGAAAGGTAGGGGGTGTGTGGACCAGGTGTTTACAGTGAAACATATAAGTGAACAGTATTTAGATAAGGCTAAAGAGGTCTTTGTGGCATTTATGGATTTGGAAAAGGCGTATGACAGGGTGGATAGGGGGGCAATGTGACAGACGTTGCAGGTGTATGGTGTAGGAGGTAGGTTACTGAAAGCAGTGAAGAGTTTTTACGAGGATAGTGAGGCTCAAGTTAGAGTATGTAGGAAAGAGGGAAATTATTTCCCAGTAAAAGTAGGCCTTAGACAAGGATGTGTGATGTCACCGTGGTTGTTTAATATATTTATAGATGGGGTTGTAAGAGAAGTAAATGCGAGGGTCTTGGCCAGAGGCGTGGAGTTAAAAGATAAAGAATCACACATAAAGTGGGAGTTGTCACAGTTGCTCTTTGCTGATAACACTGTGCTCTTGGGAGATTCTGAAGAGAAGTTGCAGAGATTGGTGGATGAATTTGGTAGGGTGTGCAAAAGAAGAAAATTAAAAGTGAATACAGGAAAGAGTAAGGTTATGAGGATAAAAAGATTAGGTGATGAAAGATTGGATATCAGATTAAAGGGAGAGAGTATGGAGGAGGATATTTGGGAGTGGACGTGTCAGCAGATGGGTCTATGAAAGATAAGGTGAATCATAGAATTGATGAGGGGAAAAGGGTGAGTGGTGCACTTAGGAGTCTGTGGAGACAAAGAACTTTGTCCTTGGAGGCAAAGAGGGGAATGTATGAGAGTATAGTTTTACCAACGCTCTTATATGGGTGTGAAGCATGGGTGATGAATGTTGCAGCGAGGAGAAGGCTGGAGGCAGTGGAGATGTCATGTCTGAGAGCAATGTGTGGTGTGAATATAATGCAGAGAATTCGTAGTTTGGAAGTTAGGAGGAGGTGCGGGATTACCAAAACTGTTGTCCAGAGGGCTGAGGAAGGGTTGTTGAGGTGGTTCGGACATGTGGAGAGAATGGAGCGAAACAGAATAACTTCAAGAGTGTATCAGTCTGTAGTGGAAGGAAGGCGGGTAGGGGTCGGCCTAGGAAAGGTTGGAGGGAGGGGGTAAAGGAGGTTTTGTGTGCGAGGGGCTTGGACTTCCAGCAGGCATGCGTGAGCGTGTTTTATAGGAGTGAATGGAGACAAATGGTTTTTAATACTTGACGTGCTGTTGGAGTGTGAGCAAAGTAACATTTATGAAGGGGTTCAGGGAAACCGGCAGGCCGGACTTGAGTCCTGGAGATGGGAAGTACAGTGCCTGCACTCTGAAGGAGGGGTGTTAATGTTGCAGTTTAAAAACTGTAGTGTAAAACACCCTTCTGGCAAGAGAGTGATGGAGTGAATGATGGTGAGAGTTTTTCTTTTTCGGGCCACCCTGCCTTGGTGGGAATCGGCCAGTGTGATAATAAAAAAAAAAATATTCATTTAGTAATTTATTAGAGGCACTAAAGCCCTAGGGGTCATAAGCGCCTGGAAGGCATTCAGTTTCGACTCAAGGAAGGGAAGGATGAGTAGCTCCTTCCATCAAAAGCCCATCGCCTAGATTTATCCTATGACTTAGCAACATTTCTGAAGTAAAATAGAAACTAGATTGTAGTTGCGAGTGTCCTCTACCACTCTTGGCCCTGAATGGCCCACACGGGTTCAGCGCTTCAGTGATGTTAGGAAGCCCAGGCACTTTACCATGATAGTGCCAATCCTGAAGTGCCTCTTGATGGGGGAGTTCTGGTACCGAGGGTTCAGTTTCAGTTGTTGGCTGGTACTCCAACTGCCCACGGCCAAGGTGGAGTTGCTGTTGAAAGCTGTGATGTCGAACTCGAGCTGTGGAACAATCTGTAGCTTCTCCGCCTGCCACTCCACCTTCTCCCACTTGCTCATCTCCTGTGACAGGACAAAAAGACTAGTTATTGTCCAAGTCGGACCAAAACTTCGTCGTAAGTTTCCTTCTACATTGTGCTGGTCATTTGTGTAGGGAGCAGAAGGAAGAATCAATGTTGAAAAACTATAGGACAACAAAAACCGCATTAAATCGGCGGCATTTAATTACCTACATGTGATTGCCCAAATGTTATTTCCTATTTATAATTACCTAGGTGTAATTATCTAGTCTGGATTTTCAACGAATTTTAGCTCAAGGGTCCACCTCTTAGCTCTCTATTAATTGACTTCATATGTCCCTAGTTTATTTTAACAGTGCATTGTTTCTGCTTGTTCTGTGCCGTCATCCAATCTGTTTCACGTTATCACTACTCTGACATTATATTAGCGCTTTATAACATCTCAAGAGGTCAACTGTAGATTCAGTTTCTTTCCTTCCTTTTCCAATTCCTTTCCTACGAGTTTAGCGCTCCCCATAATAATAATAATAATAATAATAATAATAATAATAATAATTATATAGATCAGCGTTCCTATGACATTCAAATTAATTATTTACTGCTCTCCTAACACAGAGGCAAGTATTATTCAACAATTTAGTAGGCCTCTGCCGGTCTCAGACGATGCCTACTAAATTAGAAGGGAAACATTTCTGCCATCATATATGTTCGCAAGATTGAAGAAGTCAGCAATCCTGCCACTGTACAAAACATTTAAACAGGCCTCCGTTTTACAATCATGTGTCAGGGCAGTAGTTCCTCCCTGTACAGCTGCCGTTTAAGGTCCCTTTCTCTGCTGTTCTATCTAGTTATATCTAATCTGTACCTCTTGTGTCAAGATATACCTATATGGCCCCTTATAACCTGTGTCTAAACATTGAATGCCAGTGTTCTTTGGTTCCTACTGAGATGCTCACCGTCTGCAAGGCAGGGTAGAAGGAAGTGGTGGAAGGTGGGTTTGAAGGCGCCTCGCCGCATGTTCCTCGTACGTTCTGACGAGCATCAGCCTTCAGCACCTTCGTCAACATAAGCATGGCATTCATTGTCAGTTCCCTGGAAATCTGAGGGAAGTACAAGTTCCGTCAGCTCCCTGGGTATCTGGGAGAAATGTCGGTCTCGTGATTAGGGGATAGAGCTTCCACAAGTTCTTGCGCTTAATGACCCGCAAGGATTTACTATTTCACGTGATTATAAACATAAGACAACATGGGTTCACTAAGGCAGCATATAACTCATGAGCAAGACAACATACCAGGAGGGTGTCACAGTCACACAGAGACTGACGTCTTCTGAGGGCACAGCAGATATCTTGGGTAGGAGCCATGAGCGTCACCCCAGTGGACTCACGCAGCGCCTCCCTACTGTGAGGTGAGAAACAACACACAATGGTGGAGGTTAATCTACAGCATGTTGTGACGGGGAAGATATGTTACCAGGCCAGGTCAGTGTTGTGAGAGGGGGGGCGACATGACACCAGGTCAAGGCAGTGTTGTTAGGGGGGGGAAGACATGACACCAGATTAGGTCAGTGTTGTGAGGTAGATGTACACCACCCGTAGCCAAAAATCAGAGAGATAGAAAAGTCCGATGCTTCTCCACAATGTGGGTATTCTTTCGGTGATCTGCAATATTCTTTTCAAAGTGGCCGTATCACTAGTATCTGCAGCATTCTTGCGGTGTTTGAGTTCCATTACTGGAAAGCGTTGACTTGCTACATAGTTTATACTAGTATTCCCCAACCTTTGAGTATGAAAGGACCATTTGAAAAGTCAAATTTAAAGGAGGGCTGCCGTTGCCCGTTATATCCACATATACGTATGCACGAGAAGTGAACAGTGGTTGTCAGAGGTGGCGATAAGGTTTTGGTGTAAAATGGCTTTAAATATTTTGCAATTGATGACACTGTGCAGTATGGAACCTGTGGAAAATTTTCTAGGGTGCTTACCTGTATGTACCTCAACATTATATACATACAAGTAATCTCATTGGGAGACAACCATATTGTTTACCGTAGTCACCCCGTGTAGACATGTGAGAAAACTTAACCACCCCTGGTCACGACAAGTGGTTCCTTCGACCTCACAATCTTATCCATATCTATCCGAGACCAGTATGGATTGGATAGCACCCACAAATACGGTGCTACTAATTAATTGTGGACTGTATAGATTATATTAGTTTAACTGAATGAAGGGGGGTGGGGTAGGTTACACATGGATATATCCATCAAGGAAAACACTTGTACATAATCTCACCACTTACCAGATATTCTCTGGTGGTTACTTGATGTAGCTGGATCACTCATAACCTATCCAATTACAACATACCTAACTGGCCAGTATCAGTCTGCTATAACTAGAAGGGTTACTTAACTGTGGGTGATTGATACTCCTTATTTCCTCCATTCACCATCTCATTTTGATGTCCTGCTACACCGACACGGTTCTTATTCCAGCAGGACGAGGTATCCGTCGGTTTGTCCCGGTTTAGAAGTCGTGATTCCATAAAGCTTCACTATCCTCGGTACGAGAATCACGCGTTCACTCGGAGCAGGGCGATCTATTTCACATCCCACATTCTCTTAACTTAATGTTATTATCACTCATTACATTACCATTCACAAGACGATTTAACGTCTCATAATTATTATACACATTAGAGGTCACTTCATTAAGATCTGGGGCCGATGAGTGAGGTTAAAACTCAGGGTTTTTCCCCCGGCAACACCAGGGCCCGGCCCCCGTCCACCCGGTCGAACCTTTTCCTTTTTACCCTTTTTTGGGTGGTCCGTAAATCAGTTCCCCACTCTTCACCGGGGAACAGTTTACGCCTTTCCCTTTTTTAAAAGTGAGGCCTATATTAATCCTTGGCCCGCTTTTGGAATGCCAATTTCCTGGTTCAGGCTTTCCCAGCCTCCTCCCACATTCAAAAAATTTCCCGCCCCCCCATCCCCAGGACTTACCCCGACATCCGCGCTGCGCAAGGGGAACTTTTGGGTTTTTTTCCCTATTGTAAATCATTTTTGACTCATATCGACACACTAAACACCTATTAGGCGCTATGCTTGGAAAAAATCCAAAAATTTTCCACAAAACCTACATAAAAGTGAAACATAATTTCTGTGAGGCCCGCATCCTTTTCCCGGAAAAGGGGGGTTCATGGGGCCCCCTCTGCCGCATATATTTTATATATATATATATTATATATATATATATATATATATATATTTTATATATATATATTATATTATTACATTTATAAATTTATATATATATATAATTATATATATATTATTATATTATATATATATATATTATTTTTAATATATTTTATTATTGGATTGAAGCTGTGGCAATCACATTTCGTGTAATTTTTTGGTTAAGTACTTTTCCCATACGAGCAGGGAGGCATACGTTTTAATTTATTTGGTGTTCGGTGTGTGTGAGCTGAGACTCGCCCTTTAAACCCAAAAATAGGTGGCCACTACACAGGACAGACAGAAAGTAATGAGGTCTTACTCACGAGGAGGTCGTGAATATTTCAAGTTGGGCCAAACCCTGGGGTAGTGTCATTCTCCCCTGGTCGCCTCCCCCCCCCCAAAACACAAAAAAACCATACACACACCCCACACAACACACACCAACACTCACACACCCAACACACCACACCAAAACCACACAACACACTCACACCACACACACACACAACCCCGGACGAAAAGCCAAACTAAAAAAAAGGGGGATATGGAATGGGAACTTCCTAAAAACGGGGTTCAGGGGGGACAGAGAACTGCAGGGAAGCAGTTAATGAGATGAGGAATATGTAGCGCAAAATGCAAGGAGGCTGTTCAGAGGTTTTCCAAGGGTAACAGGAAAAATAAAAAAATAGGATGGCACATGGTTTACCAAAGGTGAGGGAGGCAAAAACCAAAAGTGTGCTGGGGAAAGGGAAAAGAAAAATTTAAGGAAAAAGGACCAGGAGATTAAAGGAGAGCAGTCGTGGAGCCAGAAACGAATAGCACAGATAAAAAGGGGGGCCCAAAAAGCAATATAAAAATGCATAGCAGCGAAACCCAAAAATCGGGCCACTCGGAGGAAAACAACAGTAAGGACCGGGTTTAATAGGTAAGGAAAGGAAAGGAGGAGACAACAAGAAATGACCGTGAAGTATGTGAAAACTAAACAAGAGATTCAAAGAAGTGTTCACGAGGAGACAAAAGGGGGCTCCGAAGACGGAGAGGTGGGGCCACCCCCATGTGTGGCACAGTGCAAAACCCCGAGGAAGAAGTAAAGAGGCTTCTGGGGGGAGTAGATCCCCAAAAGGCAATGGGCCAGATAACTCTCCCCATGGGTATTGGAGAGGGAGCAGAGGCGTAGTTTACCCTAAGAAAATTTTAAATTTACTCTATCGAAAAGGGAGATTGCTGAGGCATGGGACAGAAAATGTAGCCCCAAATTTTAAAAAAAGAGCAGACATGAAGTTTAAAAAATACAGCCCTGTCACTGCCCATTTTTTTAAGTTGCAAAAATCATGGAAAAGATTTCAGGAAGAGTGGGGGAACACCTAGAAAGGAACGATCTATCAACAGCCCCAAAAAGGGTTTCAGGGATGGGAAATCTGTGTCAAAAAACCTACGGAGTTCTAGAATGGTGACAGCAGTAAGACAAGAGAGAGAGGGGTGGGTGGATTGCATTTTCTTGGACTCAAGAAGGCGTTTGACACGTTCACACAAAAGATTGGTGCAAAAACTGGGGGGACCAAGCGGGAAAAAGGGAAGGCACTACAATGGATCAGGGATACTTGTCGGGGAAGACAGCAGGGGTCATGGTACGTGGCGAGGTGTCCCTTTTGCAGATGACGTGAAGTTGATGAGAAGAATTCACTCGATCGAAGACCGGGATAATACAAAGGGATCTGGACAGGCTGCAGACGGTCCAGAAATTTGGCTCCTGGAGTTCAATCCACAGGCAAAGTATGAAGATGGGGAAGGGCAAAGAAGCCCGCAGACGGAGTACAGTCTGGGGGGCCGAGACTACAAACCTCACTAAAGGGAAAAAAGATTTTGGGGTGGTTTAACCCAGGAAAATCTCCTGAAGCACAATCAACCAAAAAACTGTGAAGCATATGGGCGCCTAGCAAACTCAGAACAGATTCCGACTTTTCCTTAAAAAGGGAAATCATTCAGAACCCTGTACCCCGTGTAGTTGGGCCCCCATATTGGGTATCGGCCCATTTTGGGAAACCCCCACCCCCGCCAAGCACGTAAAAAGAAACTGGAAAAAGGAAAAAGATTTGCAACAAGACTGCCCAGAGCTAAGAGGTATGTCCTCGAGGGGGGTTAAGGAAAAAATTTAACCTGACGAATGGAGGACAGGAGAGATAGGGGGGACTGATAACGACATACAAAATACTGAGGGAAGGGGAAAAAGGTGGAAAAGAGGGGATTTTCCCCAGGATTGGACCAGAAAACAGGGGAACATTTGGGAGGAAGACAAAGGAATCCGGGGGATGTTGGAAAGTATTTCTTCAGCCACAGGTGTCAGAAAGGGGAATGTTTGGGAAGTGATGTAGTGGGGCAGGCCCATACTAGCTTTAAGCAGGGGTTGTAAAGCTCACCCAGGGAGAGTGACCTGAGCGATCGTGAAGGGGGGGGCGGAGTCGGATCGACCCGAAACCTCAACTAGGTGAGTACAACTAGGTGAGTCACACAACACACCACACACAACACATACACTACACACACCACACAAACACACACACACCACACACACACAACCACCACACACAAATGTGAAATGTGGGGCCCATACAGTGAGGGAAAAAAAAATTTAATAAGCAAGAGAGAAAGGAAAAATAAAAAATTAAAAAGGGAAGGTGGCTTTTGGGCCTGCTAAAAACGTGACGTCACAACAGTTTTTGGGGATTATACATAAAAAGTGAAACCCCGAAGTGAAGTGTATTCCAATATAAGTGAAGTTACTTATCAAAGTGCATGAGGGTCCGGGAAGGGCATGAGATATAGGTTATAAAGATCAGGTGAAGAATTTTCAAATAGTGATAAAAGGTCGTCTCAGCATTGGCAACTTGTCATCGCATCATTTAATTAGATACTCCCCCTTTGGGGTTTTTTTTTTGGGGGGGGGTTCTGAATCCGCCTTGAGTCACTGTTAGATATGGTCACTCACTCTGAAAGCTTTTCCAGAATTAGAGCAAAAAATAGCATAGTTAAGGTAAAGATGGTTGACTGCGAGGAGCAGCCTAGGAGGGGAACCCTAGTGAGGGTGGTCAGACACTCTAGAAGTCAGACAAGAAAAATTTTTACAACCAATTACTTTCTGTGTTTTATAAGTGAAGTGAAAGTG